GAAAATAAGTCTAAGATACGATGTTATGAATTTTTGAAGCAAACTTCTCGCTCTTTTGCAACCGTTATTCAAGAATTAGACGAAGAAGTGAGAGATGCAGTAAGTATCTGATCAATATAATTAATACTTCTTATCCATTTGGTAGTTCTTCTTTGAACAATATCAAATTTTTTATATAAATTATATTAGGTTTGTCTATTTTACCTAATTTTACGTGGGATGGACACCATTGAAGATGACATGACACTTCCTATCGAAAATAAGGAGCCCTTGCTAAGAACTTTTAACGAAATAATTTATAAGAAGGGATGGACTTATACTGAAAGTAGGTTACAAACAAAGTAATGTGTACATAAATCTTTGTGATAATGACTGTTTTATATAATGTTGTCATTTTAGGTGGTCCCGATGAGAGAGATCGAAATTTACTTCTAGAGTTTGATGTTGTAATTGAAGAATTTTTACATTTGAAAAAGGAGTTAGTATTTTCGATCTAAAAAAATTTTTTTATTGACAAACACGTGACCAGGTTCTAAATATGTAAAAATTTCAGATACAGAGACATTATAACCGACATTGCTAGTAAAACGGGCAATGGAATGGCCGATTATGTGAAAAACGCTGAGCATAATAAATGTGGTGTTATTACCAATAACGATTTTGATTTATATTGCTACTATGTTGCTGGGTTGGTCGGCATAGGCCTCAACGGATTATTTTCCGCGAGTGGATTGGAAAGTCCAGATTTGGCGAATGAAACCAAGCTGTAAGTTTAAAATTTAATACCAGTGAACATTTTTAATAGCGATTACTCAAGGTACTTATCTTTAAATAATTTACGATAGGCCATATGCCATGGGGTTGTTTTTGCAAAAGACAAACATTTTACGGGATTATTTGGATGACGTTCTCAATGGGCGCAAATATTGGCCAAAAGAGATTTGGGGAAAATACGCAGATGATTTGTCATTACTCAAGGAGCCGGGATATGAGAAAGAGGCTATAGAATGCCTTTCAGAAGTCATTATGAATACACTTCAGCATGTACCTGATTGTTTGACGTATTTGTATCGTCTAAAAAATCCGAGTGTTTTCCGTTTCTGCGCTATCCCACAAGTTATGGCAATGGCTACTTTAGCATTTATGTTTAGAAACATTGAAGTATATAAAAAAATTGTAAAAATTAGAAAAGGAGTAACTGTTAAGGTAAATATTATTCTCTGTTTATATTACACGGTAAAGAAATTATTCTTAATATTAATTACTTATCAAATTATCGATTCAGTTAATATTAAAGTGTAATAATATTTATGAAGTAGCAAGTATCTACCGTCATTATGGTCGTGTAATTATTGCCAAAAATGATCCCAAGGATCCAAATTTCTTGAAAATTAGTATGGCCTGTGGTCGGGTAGG